AGAGGACACAGTACACAAGAGGACACAGTACCCAGAGGACACAGTACCCAGAGGACACAGTACCCAGAGAACACAGTACACAAGAGAACACAGTACACAAAGAACACCGTACCCAGAGAACACAGTACCCAGAGAACACAGTACCCAGAAGACACAGTACCCAGAGAACACAGTACCCAGAGAACACAGTACCCAGAGGACACAGTACCCAGAGGACACAGTACCCAGAGAACACAGTACCCAGAGGACACAGTACCCAGAGAACACTGTACCCAGAGAACACAGTACACAAAGAACACCGTACCCAGAGAACACTGTACCCAGAGAACACAGTACACAAGAAGACACAGTACCCAGAGAACACAGTACACAAGAGAACACAGTACACAAGAGAACACAGTACCCAGAGAACACAGTACCCAGAGAACACAGTACCCAGAGAACACAGTACACAAGAAGACACAGTACCCAGAGAACACAGTACCCAGAGAACACAGTACCCAGAGGACACAGTACCCAGAGAACACTGTACCCAGAGAACACAGTACACAAAGAACACCGTACCCAGAGAACACTGTACCCAGAGAACACAGTACACAAGAAGACACAGTACCCAGAGAACACAGTACACAAGAGAACACAGTACACAAGAGAACACAGTACCCAGAGAACACAGTACCCAGAGAACACAGTACCCAGAGAACACAGTACACAAGAAGACACAGTACCCAGAGAACACAGTACCCAGAGAACACAGTACCCAGAGGACACAGTACCCAGAGAACACTGTACCCAGAGAACACAGTACACAAAGAACACCGTACCCAGAGAACACTGTACCCAGAGAACACAGTACACAAGAAGACACAGTACCCAGAGAACACAGTACACAAGAGAACACAGTACACAAGAGGACACAGTACCCAGAGAACACTGTACCCAGAGAACACAGTACACAAGAGGACACAGTACCCAGAGGACACAGTACCCAGAGAACACAGTACACAAGAAGACACAGTACCCAGAGAACACAGTACACAAGAGAACACAGTACACAAGAGAACACAGTACCCAGAGAACACAGTACCCAGAGAACACAGTACCCAGAGAACACAGTACACAAGAAGACACAGTACCCAGAGAACACAGTACACAAGAAGACACAGTACACAAGAGAACACAGTACCCAGAGAACACAGTACCCAGAGAACACAGTACCCAGAGAACACAGTACACAAGAAGACACAGTACCCAGAGGACACAGTACACAAGAAGACACAGTACACAAGAGAACACAGTACCCAGAGAACACAGTACCCAGAGGACACAGTACCCAGAGGACACAGTACCCAGAGAACACAGTACACAAGAAGACACAGTACACAAGAGAACACAGTACCCAGAGAACACGGTACACAAGAGGACACAGTACCCAGAGAACACAGTACACAAGAGGACACAGTACCCAGAGAACACAGTACACAAGAGGACACAGTACCCAGAGAACACAGTACACAAGAAGACACAGTACACAAGAGAACACAGTACACAAGAGGACACAGTACCCAGAGAACACAGTACACAAGAAGACACAGTACACAAGAGAACACAGTACCCAGAGAACACAGTACCCAGAGGACACAGTACCCAGAGGACACAGTACCCAGAGAACACAGTACACAAGAGGACACAGTACCCAGAGAACACAGTACACAAGAAGACACAGTACACTAGAGAACACAGTACCCAGAGAACACAGTACCCAGAGGACACAGTACCCAGAGGACACAGTACCCAGAGAACACAGTACCCAGAGAACACAGTACCCAGAGAACACAGTACCCAGAGGACACAGTACCCAGAGGACACAGTACCCAGAGAACACAGTACCCAGAGGACACAGTACCCAGAGAACACAGTACCCAGAGAACACAGTACCCAGAGAACACAGTACCCAGAGAACACAGTACCCAGAGAACACAGTACCCAGAGGACACAGTACCCAGAGAACACAGTACCCAGAGAACACAGTACCCAGAGAACACAGTACCCAGAGAACACAGTACACAAGAGAACACAGTACCCAGAGAACACAGTACACAAGAGGACACAGTACCCAGAGAACACAGTACACAAGACACAGTACACAAGAGAACACAGTACCCAGAGAACACAGTACCCAGAGGACACAGTACCCAGAGGACACAGTACCCAGAGAACACAGTACCCAGAGAACACAGTACCCAGAGAACACAGTACCCAGAGGACACAGTACACAAGAGAACACAGTACCCAGAGAACACAGTACCCAGAGAACACAGTACCCAGAGGACACAGTACCCAGAGAACACAGTACCCAGAGGACACAGTACACAAGAGAACACAGTACCCAGAGAACACAGTACCCAGAGGACACAGTACCCAGAGAACACAGTACCCAGAGAACACAGTACCCAGAGAACACAGTACACAAGAGGACACAGTACCCAGAGAACACAGT